CAGGGGGGGGGGGGGGGGGGGGGGACCCAAACAAAAAAGCCCTGGATATGCACAGTTGAGAGGTACCAGTTTCCTCTAAGTGCATTAGAGAGAGATGGAATTTATGTTTTGAGTGCTGCATATCATCCCAGCAGTAATCAAAAATATCTGTAATTCCTCTCATTTAACCACAAGCAGCCTTTTAGTAAGACAAATAACACAGCAGGGTTAAAGACAGAACTGTGTATATATCTGAATTGGAATAAACCGGCAGGTGTAATTGGCACTAAAAGTATTTCAGGGAGAGGTTTTTTTTCATTTGGTCTTTCACAACAAAGTCTGCTGATCTTCTCTGAAGCAGCAGGGGTTGCCTGCTGCTGAAGACAAAGATGCTCTCTTAGGGAACAGCCATCTGTTCTGGTGTAGGAATTACTGTATTGTATCATCAGAAGTTTTAGAAGGTGATGCAGTCTGTCAGAATCTGCTCAGTCTCACGCAGTTTCTCATTGCTCTCATCAGACCGGTTCAGATCTCTGCAAGTACAGATAAGTATGAACTGCACTGGGGCTCGCGTGCTGGACAACCCATCTGCTTTTGGAGTACGTTTCCTGTCTCGCTGTTGTGATTGAAACGGTCTTTTTTGTTTTGCTAGGCTCGTGGAGTACACTCGTGCTGATGGTACCGTTGGCCGCAGAGTAAGGCCCTACATTATCGACCTGGGCTCTGGGAACGGCACTTTTCTAAATAACCAGAGGATTGAACCTCAGCGTTATTACGAACTAAAGGAAAAGGATGTACTGAAGTTTGGGTTCAGTAGCAGGGAATACGTTCTTCTCCATGAATCTTCAGATAAATCAGAGGCCAACACAAAGGACGATGATGATGATGAGGAGAAGGAGGAAGAGTCTGACAGTTAACAGATGAGGAGGAAATTGGGGGGGGGGCAGGGGAGAGAAATTCTTCGCAGTTGAACATGCATTGGGATGTAAACATTGAAGCATCGCAGCACTGATGCCTCTTATTGCCTTAAAGTCCTTTTTCTGTTGCTGATCTGTTCTCATAGTTTATTTTGGGGGACTTCACTGATTATTCATCTTCGATAGTTCTGCATATCAGGAAATACAGCTTTTTTTTTTTTTTTTTTTTTTTCCCCCGACACGCAAAAGAGCACCTGAATGTGAAAGCTCTGATGCTGGAAATATTCAACAAATGTTGAAAGACTGTCCTGTTCTAGGAAATTATGTAAAACACAGCTGGCATATTTAAAATGATTTTTATTAACTGTTTTGTCAGAGCCCTTTGAAAATGATACTTTACTGAAATATTAGTTAGAAAGTAACCCAATGCATTTTGTAACACGTCTTGTCTGGTAGTTTGCCAAATTCCTTTGTCTGTTAGGAGTTCTAGACAGGAGAATTTACCAGGCTCGCTACCAAAAAGGCGGAAACATTGCAAAGCCCCTCTTGTATTTGTATGTTTCGGGTAGTTAGTTTGCCTTGTGATAACTTTCAGGGACGGACATTTCGCTGGAATACATCACCTGAAAAATCACAAGGTCATTTGAAATAGAAGTTAAATGCTTCCTGGGATTTTAGGTGAGGATAATGTGATTTGGGGGCTGAGGTCCAGGTCCGTGCCTGCCCAGGATGTGTCCAACACACGATGCTGAAACTGTTACTGGATGTCGAGTGTCCGGGTCTAAAGCTGGAGCCTTTATTTCCGATACCACCCCCGCCCCGTGAATAACTTCTTGTTTTTGTTTGTATTATGCATAAATACCTTTTATGTGGTGACATTTTAACCAGAATTTGCACTATTTAAGTTTTCTTTTTATACAAAGTTCTACAAGTCACTTGTTTAAAATAGCCTTCTCCCCTGTAAAAGAAAACAGTGCTTTAGGAAGAGGAAAAAACAATTCCACTCACTGAAAGTACTTGCATCTTGCATATTTTTGGATGTCTTCTCCCCCTTGCTTTACGGTATAAGAAATGTGTATTTTCCCCACTGTTTACTAATTAGCCTGGATGTTTGTTCTGTGGTCACAAGCTATTCATACCTGCTGTGTATATACTTTGTGTATACAAGGGCTGCCTATCGTATACACAGGCTAGAACATTTATGGTGTAAATATGGGGCATTGACGTAGGTTTTCAAACGGTAGGTAGAATGAGTTTTGATTAGGAGGATCTCCTTTATATATACTCTAGGGGTTTTTAAATAAAGAATTTGTAAATTTAGCCCTAATTACTTTTAGTTGTAATATTTTTCTAGCGTCCCGTTCCTTTTTATGTTCCTTGAAATAGATGAACTTTCAGTACTCATTTCAGTATTAAGGACACCAAATAAGTTTAAACAAAAAAAAGCGGCATGAATTGTGTACTCGAGAGGCTGTGACTGGGGGGTTCGTACCGCGCCCCCTGCTCGGACCGTTCCTACCCGAGCGTGGCCCCGGTGGCTTGTTCTGCGTCCGGGCTGTTTGCCCCGGTGCAGACGGGCTCTCGCTCAGGAACGGGCATCGCGCTGTGGTTTAAGCCGGAGCTGATCCGTGCCGCGACAGGGCAAAGCAGCCCCTCAAGCCTCACCGCGCAGCGTTTACACTAACGCAGTTTAACAGAAGCTTGAACCTAGCCTAAAAACCAGTTGGGTTTAGTCAGACAAACGCACCCAAGGCTGGAACGGCCTCTCCCGAAGGAGCTTTTTCCCCGCAGAGGGGAGGCACGGAGCGGGGACGCTTGGGCTGCGATGGG